AGTTGCAAACCACTTAGAGCAATGCTCTTGACTCATTCGAGTCGTCAACAGCAGCTCAGCGGTTGAACACTCGCTTCACAAGCGATAGGTCGGTGGTTCGAACCCACCAAGGCACAGCCCTCTCGGTCCATGAACGATTGTTCACGCTTGGACAAGCTTAAGGGCAACACCCTTTTAGCTCAATGGTTAAGCGTTGGCTTTGAGAGCCACAGGTCGGTGGTTCTAACCCACCAGGGCACAGCCCTCTCGTTACATGAACGATTGTCCACGCTTGGACAAGCTTAAGGGCAATCTTCTTTTAGCTCAGTGGTCGAGCGCTGGCTTTGGAAGCCACAGGTCGGTGGTTCAAATCCACCCGGGCGCAGCCCTCTCATATCATGAGAAGTCCGTTTTCGGACTGACGTACGGGCATCGCCCTTATAGCTCAATGGTGGAGCTCCGGCCTGTTAAGCCCAAGGCCAGTGAATCGATCCCCGTCCGGGACACCACTTTCGCTGTTACAGCGCATCCACATTTGGATCATGCTCATCGAGCAAGTTGTTTCAAAACAACAATGCGTCTATCGAGACGCTTGTGCCTGAACATTGTTCAGCACAACACGAAGCACCTGCTTCCTTCGGGACCATGTCCCTAACACTACGAGGTCTCTCCACCTCCTGCTCCCGCTGCGAGCACCGCTCATACGTACGAGCTGGCTGCTGCAGCCACTGGTCAGAGCCTGAGCTCAGCATTGCTTCATCAATCACAGTCTGTCGGCCTGATGGTGGTTTCCTAACTCCTGGGACAGCCTGTCGTCCCAGGCGTCCCTAACCTCTAGCTGCCCTGCGAGTGGATGGAGGCTTGCCAACGAGAAACCCCCACTTAAGGTGTGCCATTCAAAGAGAACATTTTCTGGTAGCGAAAACGTTGGTGAATCGTGGTGCGTACAGCGGTGTAACCTGGTGGTTACACAAGGTCAACATGTTCATATCGACCCCGTGGACGCGAGACCCAGCTCATAATATCGAGAATAAGAACGATCACAGGAAACGTCAAGCACTTTGTAGAGACTCCAGTATGTGGGACACTGACTGACACGGACCCAGTAGATGCACGACGAGATTTATCAAGGCCCCACGAGGCTGCGCTACAAGCTGCGTGCAGGTTTCAAAACCAGCGACGGCTTCATGGTTCTGAAGGGCAAATGTGATGTCTGGGTAATCTCACGAGTTTCATCTGAGCTAAACCTTATACTGTACCGTACAAGATGAACCTAGAGGATGGCCGACTGGGCTACCTAGGATACATTAGAATACAAAAACCAGGGTCTGAAATTTTTTCTGTATCACTAAAATCAGTTTCTTAAAACAAAAACGGATTGTTGCAACCTTTTTATAATCTTGAATATGATATCGTTCCAATTTTTCCAGTATAATTTACAAAAGTAGGCTCATAGAAACTTCAGGTGCCTTACGAAGCAATTAGACGTCAGCAGCCGCCTCAGCGCCATGTCTTGATGTCTGTATTGCCTATACTAGCTCTTAGTTATAAATCTGATAGCCAATCATTACCTCAGAGTCCACAAATAAGCAACTTGCAGTGGACTGCTCACTCTATTATTCCGACTTCCAAAAGCACCCTCCCTCAAGAACGATGCCCTCCGACAAAGACATCTGCGCTTACTTCTACGAGCCCCTCGGCGAGGGTCACTTCCGCTGCAAGCAGTGCGGTAGTGTGCGCAAACAGCTCGCCAACTCTGGCTCATGGCCCACCTGAAACTCAAGCACGAAGGCTTCAAGGCCCATTATGGCGCCTCTCTGTCCGGCAACGCGGAAGTTCTCTAGGACTATAGCCTCGTATCCGAGGAGACGCCCCATCATTTTCAGTGGATACGGGGGGCTGTGGATCGGAGCATGCCGCTCTCTGAGGTCGCCAACAAGCTGTCACGCTCTATGGCACGGTGGAAATCCGTGTCGTCACTTGTGATTCGCAGCAGCATGCACGATGTAGCCAAAAAAGGTTGGCAAGACTATTGGACAGACATAGGTACAAGTTTCGGAATAATGTTCGGAGTGGTTACTGTTACATGCTCATTACAAAAATGATACGAGTATGTGCCTGGTAAGTGGTTCGAGGCTATCCAACGTAAATAAATAACTTTGCTCCCGTTACCTGCGGAATTTTATCAATGATTTGCGTACCGCACGCCATCCGTTCAGTCGGCCATTTGCGAGGGGGAGGCAGACGCCGGAAGAAAGGGGGGGCGGACAAATGGCGCCGAGCCCCAGCAAGCGAGCGCGAAGCGTAAGGTGTGCGTGGGCAAAGTATATGTTGTCTACTAATCGAGTGTTTGTTTGTAGGAAAGCTCTAGCTCTAGCGTGTCTAATTTTGAACCAGAGAGCAGCAGCACCGACGAGTCTAGCTCGGTAGGGCTACCCCCTGCGAAGATTCGGACCAAAACGTGTTCCCGTTAGCAAGGAGGAAACTGCAGCTCTGTGTTCGTCGGAATCTGTTGGGGGATGCAGCGGGGCTGCCGTAGCTTTAGCGTCAGAGGAAGACGTTCGACTCAAAGAGTCACTAATACTAAGTTCCCTATCCAAAGGACACTTACAGCCCAAGACCAGGGCTCAAAGTTAACACCTTAACTTTTATGAGCAATTTCCATAAGTCAGTAGTTACTACTGAGATCGGGTGATTTGATTTGTAAATACTGCTATTGTCAGCGAATCTCAGTAGTTATGAAATAGTGCTTCATTTCATATTCTAAATTAAATAGTATAGTATTCTACATATGATGCGCATGCTAACAACATTTTTTCTAATCTAATATGGAAATTCAACGGCACTCAACAGACGTTGACTTGGTTTTCTATTGTTGTCGTCGTGCATTCGTTTCTCACTGCTACAAGCCCATTTCTCTGTTTCCTCTCACCAGCTCGTTAGTTCCACGAGGCACACAATACACTGACCGAATGCTCCTCTCTCGAACACGAAAAGCTCGCACTTTCGGGTCGGCTCCTTTCGTGGTGAACGTGTCAGAGCTGGATATGGCCAGGTCGCTTGGCTTGTTGAGACAAGATGTACCAATTGGAATGCCAGACTGTAGCAAGAGCAACTACGGTGTGGCGTACCAGCGGCGAGATAACATCGGGATCGAGACTCACGGATCTCAAAAAGCAATTCAAGAACGCTGCAAAGAACTTGCTCAAACGTCCGGCTTTCAGCTGTTTGTCAAAAGCTTCAGTAGCAAGGCTAACGATAGTGGAAATGCAAAGTATGTCTGCAAAAAGCTGAATGGTCAGCAGTTCTTCGACAAGAACACCTCCTATGACGAAATTGAGTGCCCGTTTGCTATCAATGTCAACGGAGCTGACGGAAGCTGGAAGGTGACTCGCATTAATTTGCTCACAACCACGTCATGCGTGTGGGAATCACAGAACAACCTGTAGTAAATGATATTCTAATATTACCACTTCCAAATAGGTAATAGTACTTCTATCATGCTACACTCAATATCACTCTAGCGAAGATCTACTACCTGCGTCCAGTCTAACTGAGCCAATCCCTTGGCAGTGGACAAGTTGTCTCCAAAACAACCTCTACTTAGGCTTTTCCATGGCCTCGTCGCCCAAAGCGTCATCACTAGAGCCGTCGCACTCAAAATCCCACATCCCCACCTTGTCTAATTCTTTTTTAATTGAATTTACCTTTCTGTAATACCGGTTCGCTTCTTTTCTTTTTGTCTTTTGAAGAGCTACGGCCTTGGGACCGCATCCGCGTTGACGGTTTAAATGGTTCTTTAGCTTAGTCGGAGCTAAAGGTGACCTTGCAGGATGGGCAGGTTCGGGGCAGGCGCTTTTTGGGTCGGCCCAATTTCTTCTTCGAGAGGTTGCGGAGTACAGGGGCCATGGCGTGGATAAAATGGAAATGAGAAAGTTGTTTTGTAAGAGCATGTAGCTCTGCTTCATGCATTCGATGGTTGAGCATCACTGTGTATTACTATTATGTTACTACCCAGGCGTAACACATCTAACGCTTGGGACAACTACTGATCAGTACTTTACACGCACCAAATCAAATCACCCGATCTCAGTAGTAACTACTGACTTATGGAAATTGCTTTAACTTTTATGCTTCAAAACCAGAAGTGTTTTATTTACTATTATTGCGGCCAAGCCGCCTAGGGGTAAATGTATTTGTTTAACTATCTAGCATAGTTAAACCTAATCAAATGCATAACGTGTGGCTCTCGGCCAACGTACTGAGAGACCTTGTTAACTCTCCAACTTATGTACTGAGAGTTTGTTAACTCTCCGGGTACTTCGTACCCTGTGTGTTCCACACCATGTAACCCCGTTACACTCTCCCCCACTAAGATGAGAACATTCCGTTCTCGAAACTCTCCTCAGCGAGGTCACGTCTTGTTAAGACGGCGGAGGTTACTACACCTCACATTAGCGTTGTACAGCTCCGTGAGCTCACAATCGCCTACGCATCGTTGATGCCCAACTTCTCGTCGTCGGCCCACGGCCCAATGCTTCAAGCGCAGCGCGCATCTTGCTCTCAAGCGGTCTCAGACCTACGCTCGCGCTCCGCGCCTACTCCAAGAGTTGCAAACCACTTAGAGCAATGCTCTTGACTCATTCGAGTCGTCAACAGCAGCTCAGCGGTTGAACACTCGCTTCACAAGCGATAGGTCGGTGGTTCGAACCCACCAAGGCACAGCCCTCTCGGTCCATGAACGATTGTTCACGCTTGGACAAGCTTAAGGGCAACACCCTTTTAGCTCAATGGTTAAGCGTTGGCTTTGAGAGCCACAGGTCGGTGGTTCTAACCCACCAGGGCACAGCCCTCTCGTTACATGAACGATTGTCCACGCTTGGACAAGCTTAAGGGCAATCTTCTTTTAGCTCAGTGGTCGAGCGCTGGCTTTGGAAGCCACAGGTCGGTGGTTCAAATCCACCCGGGCGCAGCCCTCTCATATCATGAGAAGTCCGTTTTCGGACTGACGTACGGGCATCGCCCTTATAGCTCAATGGTAGAGCTCTGGCCTGTTAAGCCCAAGGCCAGTGAATCGATCCCCGTCCGGGACACCACTTTCGCTGTTACAGCGTATCCACATTTGGATCATGCTCATCGAGCAAGTTGTTTCAAAACAACAATGCGTCTATCGAGACGCTTGTGCCTGAACATTGTTCAGCACAACACGAAGCACCTGCTTCCTTCGGGACCATGTCCCTAACACTACGAGGTCTCTCCCACTCCTGCTCCCGCTGCGAGCACCGCTCATACGTACGAGCTGGCTGCTGCAGCCACTGGTCAGAGCCTGAGCTCAACTACTGACCTGATCGCTCCCCACTCTAGTGGGAGACGCCCAGCGCCTGGCGACGCTGTTGCACGCCGTGGTGGCGCTTCGGCACATGATGTGCCCGGTCGTAAGCGTCAACGACGTCAGGGCAATCTTGCCGGAGGATAGCCTCAAACTCCCATGAGTTCTGTGAGTGAGGATAACCCCTCCACTTCACCAAGTACTGGGTACGACCCTGGCGTCTACGCCACGCCACAAGGCGTTCCACGTGAAAGTGGAGCTCACCATGCTCACCGAGCAGAGCTGGAGGAGGCCTTGTCTCAGCTGGGCTCTCGCGGGGAGAGCCAGCACTTGCCGGAACGGCGTCTGCGTCCATACGACGCCGGCGTCCACGACGCAAACGTTCCCGGTCACCGCCCATCGGTCGATCTCGAAGAGATGATCCACCTTGTGGATAGGTTAGAGCAACCACTGTTGACTCACAAACAGGTCTCGGACCTTGAGCGTCCAGTCGCTCGGCTGAGCGTTCAGCTTGGCTTGCTCCTGCATCTCGAGCACTTCGCTCCGCGACCTGTGGCTCTGCCACATGCTGTTGATCAGCCATCTGTGGATCCACCACTTGCTGTCGTTCAGCCTCCCGTGGCTCTACCACTTGCTGCCCTGCAGCTGTCCGTGGTCCAGCCACCGTTGGTGCCAACGCCTCCGCGCTCACCTGAGCAGGGTCTTGATATGGCTTAAGCAAGCCAACATAGAAGACCGGATGCGTGCGCATCTTCTTCGGAAGGTTGAGCGTATACGCTAGGCCCTTCCTGACCACGACCTTAAACAGGTCCTATGAACCGAGGTCTTAACTTCGTTTTGAAGACTGCAGACAGGTAGGTTTTTAGCGTTTAATAAAACTTGGTCTCCGACCTCAAACCTCTCAACATTGCTTCTGCCCTTGGCATCTGCATGTTCCTTCTGCGTGTCTTGGCTTTCAGCCATAGCGTCGCGTACTTGACCCATTACGCTCAGTCTCAAAGAGACAAAGTCATCGACTTGCTTGCGAACCGCAACAGGGCTGACATCAGCTAGCCGCTCGGCTATCCCTCCCCCATCAAGCCCTGAGCCACTGCGTGGCGGCGTCAGTGGGACGCGAGGGTTAACCAAGCCGTTCACATAGAACGGAGTGTAGCCTGTCGAGGCGTGCACTGCATTATTTAATGCGAACTCAACGAGTGGGAGCATCTGGCTCCAGCGATTTGGCGCCTCAGCGCATACGCTTCGGAGGGTGTCCTCCACAACGCGATTCACGCGTTCGGTTTGACCATCGGTCTGCGGATGGTCCGCTGTGGACATGTCCAAACGAGTGCCGAGCACTCTGAAGAGGGACGTCCAGAACTTCGCGGTGAAGCGCGGGTCTCGATCCGAGACAATTGCCTCAGGCAAGCCATGTTGGCGAAAGACTCGGTCTAAAAACAGCAAAGCTGTACCTTCACCATCAATGGTGTCCGGCACTACCGCTAAATGAGCCATCTTGCTCAATCGGTCTACAAAAATCACTATACCCGTGTTTCCCGCCTTATCCTTGGGAAGGCCAAACACAAAGTCCATACTCGTGGACTGCCAGCATCCCTTGGGGACAGTCAAACTCGCCAATGGCGCTGCCGTGCTCGGCGCGGACTTTGTCCGTTGACACGTCTCACACGTGCGTACATAGGTGCCGACCCACTTATACATCTTGGGCCACCAGTACATCGAGCTCACCGAGCCATAGGTCTTCTCCCGACCTAAGTGCCCGCCCACGGGCGTATCATGAACCTCGTAGAGGATTCGATACTTTAGATCCTCATCATGAGGAACGACTACACGAGGGTTATCCTCAGAGTCGGTGCTGGAGTACAGCAGGCCGCCATCGAGTGAGTATCGATGCAGCCTCGCCCGTAAGCGCCCAGACAATTCCTTGTCAGAGTCTTTAAACTCTTCGCTCCCAAGAGCCCGTAGCAGCGCTACGCACATGTCGTCTTGTGCATACGCTCCGCGTATCAAGTCAGGCACTGACGACGTCACTGTCGTGACATGAGCTAACTCGTAGTCCGGCCTGCGCGAGAGCGCATCGGCCACTACATTAAGCCGCCCCGGCTTGCACTTCACCTCGAAGTTATACTCGGCAAAGAAGGAAAGCCATCTTGCCATTCTCTGAGAGAGATGAGGCGACTGTGTCGCAGTGCGTAACGACGCATGATCAGTAAAGATCACAAAAGGCTTAGAGCCTAGCAGGTGTACCCTGAATTTGACTAGAGCATACTTCATTGCAAGTAGCTCTTTGTCATGAACTGGATAGTTCTTCTCTGCAGCTTTGAGCTGGCGAGACTCAAACGCGATCACGCGTTCACGCCCTTCGGCGTCTGCTTGTAGTAAAGCACAACCGATTGCAAAATCGGAGGCTTCACAGACGACGCTAAACGGACTATCCGGGTCCGGTAGCGCAAGGATCGGAGCCTGGAGGAGGCTCTCCTTCACAGCCTCAAAGGCTCCGTCGTGCTCGACGTTCCAGCACCATGGTGCGTCCTTCTTAAGGAGATCTGATAATGGCCGAGCCATCTCCGCGTAGTTCGCGCTGTACTTGTGCAAGTAATTGGCTAAGCCTAGCCACTTGCGTAAGTCTTTTTGGCTCTTGGGAACCGGCCAGTCCACGATGGCCTTGACTTTGGCAGGATCTGCCCGTAAGCCACGCTTCCCAATGAAGCACCCGAGGAAAGGTATTTCCTCCGCGCCAAAGACGCACTTGTCCAAGTTGGCATACAACTTATTAGTGCGCATGCACTCGAGCACCGCTCGCAAGTGGTCAATGTGGTAATCCACGTCTGACTTTCCGTGCTCGGCACGACTATGGACGAATATATCGTCAAAGTACGTCTGAGCGTACGCCCGGTGGGGCCTAAACAACTGCGTCACAAGACGATGGAACGTTGCTGGTGCGTTCGACAGCCCCTGGGCCATGACAAGCAACTCCCAGAGCATACCGCTCGGAGTACTCACCGCTGTCAGCGGAATGTCGCTCGCTCTCATGAGCAATTGGTAGTAACCATCGACTAAGTCGAGCGCGCTGTACAACGTACAGCCTACCATGTTGTTCTGCAGAACATCCTTGCGAGGAATCGGCGTTTGCGCCGGGATACTGGCCGCATTTAGCTTGTTAAAAGCATGAACAATGCGCCACTTGCCGTTCGGCTTTTTGACACAGAAACGTGGAGTGTCGAGTGCGGAGACTTTCTCTCGCGCACCATCCCCGCCTCGTGCTTCGCACGGAAGAATGCGTCAATGACGTCACACTGCTCTCTCGGCAAAGGCCATTGCCTTGTTACGCAGTATTTGGTTCCAGGAACCAGGTCAATCTCATGACACACGCCTCGATCCGGAGGCAGACCCGTCGGTGGGTCTTTCGAGACATCATCTCCATACTCCTTCACCACCGGGTAGAAGGGATCCGAAGGATCTTTGAGGATCGCCGATCCACTTCTTGCGCTCAGCGCCTTCTTGGTGTCCTCTAGGAACGCGTCGTTCACGACGGATGAGGAGTTCAACTCCTCCTCAGGTCCCATCAGGACCACCTCGGCTAGCTCGCCTGCCTTTAAGGCTTCGCCAAACTCGGCAATGGACATCTCGTCCAGCTCTAGAAGAGATTCTGCAGCGGGCAGAGTGTCAAGGCTGATATCGCCTTCTACCTCCCCCGTCACTCCGTTAACGAGTGTATACAGCTGTTCACAGCAATCACGTGGAGCATCACCGCTCGACACGTTGGACACATCGTCCGACGTCGAAGACGTCACAGACGCCCTGCGTCTTCTTCTCCTCTCCCTCCGCGACCGGGCCCGGCCGGATGAGGGCGGTGTGGCGACATCTCCATCACCACCACCGGGTGCAGCAGCACCATCACTCCTCGAAGAGGATACAGTGTCTCGCAAGATACTCGGCTGAAAGCCAAGAGGTTCTTGACCTTCACACAGTGAACTAGGTGTCACTTCACCTGCATCTCCTAGGCCACGCCCATGATGCCTCGACTCGCAGTCGATCGCGACCCTCGGGTCACGCAGCGGTAGGTCATCGACCAGATTCGTACCACTCAGTGATTACGCGCCACGCCGCGCTCGTCCTCACCAGGATCCAGCAGTTGGCATTGACCTGACCTGAACCGCTCAGCGGATAACGTGCGCACCACGTACGCCCTCAAGGCAAACAGCAGCCTCGTTGCTAACAATTTCGGACATACCAATGTCCAGCACTACGGCCGCCTCGGCCTCGTGCTCGCGCCAAAAGCGCTTCTGCTTCCTAGCAGAGGTGGGTTCATGACTCACCAAAGCTCCACTAGGAGCAGGGTGCGACGCACCTAGCGTCTTCGACTTCCAGTCGATCATGGCTCATGGCGTTCCAGCCATGCCATGCCAAGGATGCGGTCATATCTCGCATCCAGGTCTAAGACCAAACAGCGCTCCACGCTATCGAAGTTCTCAAACTTCACTCCAAGGTCGACAGAGACCTTCGACACAGTTACCAGTGTCCCCGTCGCGAGACGGACAGAGATCGTATCTCTCGTTGGCACTTCCAGTGCCTCAGCATATAGCTGACTCCCTTCCAGGGTGGAGCGACGGGCGTAGTTGCCCGAGGCTCCCGAGTCAATCAAGAATCTCCATGGCTTCGCAAAGCCCTTCACGCTCGCTTGAACGACCAGCAAGCCCGGCTTGCACACACTCTTCTCGTAAGAGAGCTCAGCTCTCTTCGAGGCTGAGCCCCGTTGCCCTCTAC